TATTTTTATAGAATTTTGATTTTTATTGTATAATATTCAATTTAAAATTTTGATATATTTGAATTTGGATAAAATAAATAGATTTTTATATATTAATTAAATGTGTTTTGTAATTATATAAAAAAAGTAATTATATGTATACTATAATTACACAAATATATTAATTTTTTTAATTCAAAAATAATATTTCGGTCAAATATTTTGACTAAAATAATCTAAAATAAAAGATTTCCTAACAACATTTTTTATCAAATTATTTGACCGAAATTGTCCAACATTTTTTCTCAGGATGAAATTTTGTTTGAATTATTATTTCATATAATAGATATTCAGATCAATAATTCGGTTAAATAATTTGACCAAACTACTTCTTATTTGGTCAAACTTCTACTTATTCGGTCAAACTTCTACTTATTCGGCAAGATGCTTGACCAAATAAATCCCTCTTTTTAGTAGTGAATTTCTTTCCTTTCTCCTTTCATTCCCCCTTCCTTTTCATCTCTTACCTCTTTAGTTGTTCATCTTCTTCTTCCAGATCCTTGCTTGCCAGCCCTGGGGGTTTAACTTTCTCCTCTGTTGTCTTCCATCTGAACCTTGATTTCTCTCTCTTGCTCTCCTTTCTGACTCCACCTGGACCAGATCAAGCTATGATGTCATAGAAGGTTGAGAAAGGTTGCTAGATTTGAGTCCCTCGTTGTTGGGCAATCTTCTTATTAGGAACCTAGATCTAGGCTCTATGTTCTTCTCTCTTCCTCTAATATGGATTTATTTATTTTTCTTTTTTCTTTTTCTTTTTTTTTTTTAATTTGTTGTCTTTCTTGTTGTGCTTGTTGGCCTGGGTTCTAGATCTAACCAGATGATGATGGCAAGGTGTGGGTTGCGATATCATTATCAACTACTGATATTGTGTAACTTTGCTTCTTTTGAGGTAGGGTGGATTGCAATATTGGATTTAGGTGGGATGGAGTTTTTGGTGGGTGTGTTGTGGGGCACTGAGTTAACTAGGTCAACTAATTAAGGAGAGTTGTGTGAAGGTTTTGTATGGATTAAGTTACGCAGGTTAAAGGTTAAAGGGGTTGCGTGGTAGTTTTGAGCTTTAGTATTTGGTTAAATGCTTAATTTGGTCCCTCAACTTTAAAAAATGAACATTTTTTATCCCTTAACAATTTTTTGCACTTTTTTGATCCCCCAACTTTACGAAATGCACTCCGTTAGTCTTTCTGTTAATTTGAGCCGTTAACTCCGCTTATGTGACATTTTTTATATTTTTTTTTATGACGTGGAGAGCAAAGTGATGATATGGACAAACATTTTGACATTTCATATTACCCTTGTGCCAAATCATATTACCATGTGTTAAATTCATTCAAATGGGTCCCACTTCATTAATAAAGAAAGATATCTTTTGATGACATGGTAAATTAAGTGATATTTTTTTATATTTTTTAATAATATAACAAATTAAATTAAATATTTATTCCCAATAAAAAATAATATCAAATCAAATTTTATTAATTAATCATCATTAAACTATAATTATTTATATTAATTAAAATTAAAATTTTAAATTAATTTATAATTAAATCACCATTTTCTCATTAAATTTTTTTTCTTTAACGGGCCATTGTAATTTCTCAGTAACCAATCTCGCCAATCAAACAAATTCAAAGCATTTTCTCAGCATCCAAACACTCAAATTCAAAGCATTTTCTCGGCATCCAAACACCCAAACTATACCATTTTCCAGCCAAACAAATGAAAACACACTAAGCTTCTTTGCCCAACTGCTTCTGTTCTTTCCATTTCCATTTTGAACATATAACAAACATATAATATCTTGGAGCAAACCAACATATAACAAAAAACAAAAATCCAAAAAAGTGGAGTTGGGTTCACGAAACCCAGCCCATAGGAACCCAGCAAACTGGGTTCCACCGAACCAAGATCTGCTGGGTTCCACCGGAACCCAGCGGACATAGAGGAAGAAGAGGAAGAAAGAAGAGGAAGAAAGAAAAAGAAAAAGAAGAAAGGAAGAAGATGATCGAAAGAGGGGAAGAAGATGGATCAAAAAAGGGAGAGGGATAAATTTGTAATTTTTATTTTTTTATTAAGGCAAAATTGGTTGATGAGTTGACAGTGAGTTGGCAGTGAGTTGGCTTAAAAAAAAAATTCCAGATCAACATTTTTTAAAATTATTTTTGCCACATCATAAAAAAAATTATAAAAAATGCCACATAAGCGAGTTAACAACCCGAATTAACAGAAGGACTAACGGAGTGCATTTCGTACAGTTAAGGGATCAAAAAAGTGCAAAAAATTGTTGAGGGACCAAAAATGTGTAACTCACTAAAGTTGAGGGACCAAATTAAGCATTTAACCTTAGTATTTTAGTGCTTTTGGGATTGAATGGGATGAAAGGAGATATTTTTCTAGTTTGGTTAAAACTGCATTTTTGGTTTCTTTACTTTAATAAAAAACTTCTTTTTAGTCACTCTACTTAAGAAAGTCTCATTTTTAATCCCTAAAGTTTATTATTTAGTTTTTTTTGTCTCTCTATTATCTTTTTTTACAAATGTCATGTTAAATAATGAAAATTCCAAAGTAAAGAGATAAAAAGGGCTTTTCAAAGTAGAGGACCGAAAATGGCTTTTTTTTTTTTTTAAGTAGAGAAATCAAAAAGGAACTTTTTTTTTTAAATAAAAGGACCGGACCAAAAAAGGGCTTTTTTAGTTTTAGTCCCTTTTTAGTTTCTCTATTTTAATTTTTTTGACATCTAACATGCCATGTGTATAAAAAAATATCGGAAAGACTAAAAAGGGATTTTTTTAAGTACAAAGATTAAAAATAATTTTTTTTTCAAAGTAGAGAGATCAAAATGAGATTTTAATCTTCTATTTTTTTGGGAGCCAAAGAGAGAGAATTGAAGGGCTATTTTCCAACAAATATTCTAGGCAGATTCCAACAGGTTTATTCTGATTTCTAATTCCCAAATATAAATATTTTCTTGAATAAGAGAGAATAGGGTTTATGCAAACTTTAGATTAGTTACTTTATTTGGGTTCATGTTTATATTATACTTGGATTTGATGTCAGAAGGTCTTAGGGTTTGTAGAAGGTGTTTGTAGAAGGTGAAGGAAAGGAAGAGGAAGAAGAAAGGGAAAGAGGAAAAAGAGAGACAAAAAAAAAAAATTAAGGGTTTTTTTCTTTTGCCATATCATTGTTTTTGCCATATTGGAAATTGTACATATCAAAATATCTTTACATGTTATCTTTCTCTTATCAAGTAACAAGACATATAAGTGGATTTTTAATAGAGGACTAACTTGAAGCTAAATTATTAAATTTTAAGGATTAAATTAGAAATTTTTTAATTAAAGAGCTAACTCATGGGCTCTATAAAATAGTTGAAGGAACAACTTGGGAGTTTAACCATTTATTTTTTATATTCCTAACTTTACATTTTTATCGCAGTTATTATGGGTTGAGTGTTTCCTCACACCAATTTTGTTCGCTGGGAAGAGCTGAAAGTTTGAACTGTCTTCGGCCTTTATTGTCAAGACTTTTGATAGTGAGGATGAAAATTTGAATCAACAATCTGATTTATATTATGTTATTAATTTAATTAATATATATTTTACATATTTTGAAAAAATTAAATTATTAAATAATATAAAATTTACTTTTAAATATTTTAAATGACATAATTTATGTCATATCATTAATTTTAAATTTTAATTTTATTTATCATTATTCTTATTATCAAATATACATTAATTATCTTGGGATAGGAAAAATAAATATTGCAAAAAAGAAAGTTTATTTTTGTTGTAAGTTGTGTTTGAATTAATTATTGTGATGTAACTGATAACCAATATCAGATAATTAATAATTATTGTTCATATTTTAAAATATCTAGTCTATCCTATCTGAACCAACAGCTAATTTTAAAAAGTTAAAATAAATATCTTTTTACATAATTATTGATAAAAGTATAAGTTTTTTTAAATTAAAAGTCCACGTTTTATCAATAATTAAAAGTAATATAATCCACATAAGACAGGTTATACTATAATAATTTTATAATCCCTTTATTCAATATTTATATAAAAATAAATAAAGATGACATTTTAGATATGTGAAAGTTTCAAAATATTTTAAATAAATCTTTAAGAAAATTAATGGAAGTAGGGATGACAATTTTCTCCGTGACCTGCGGAGCTTCGCGGATATTCTCATCATCATAGGGATGAAAATTCTAAGAATATTTCTCTTTATGAAGCGGAGATAGAGGCATTTTTTCTCTCGTGAAACTTTGTGGAGAATTTTTTTTCTTGTGAAGAACTATGGAGGTTCATATAAAATAAAAAAAAAATTATTTATCTATATATATTTTTAAATATATTAATAATTAATTTTTACTTACTCAACCTAATTAATTGATTAATCTTTTTTTTTTTTAGTTTTTCCAAACCCAATTACATAATCCAATTGAGCCCATAATCTTCTTAAATTTAATTACACAAACTCAACCCAATTTGCTAGTAACCCTAAAATTAAAAGGACTATTTCAAATTTATAAGATTTGTGAATTTGCTATGCGATTCCTCCTCTCCAACTGTGCTTGATGATTTATTTTGACGTGAAGCAGATCTCATTCTATTGGCCTTATTATTTCTGATTTCATTTTCTCCGATTGTTCGCAAGATTGTCAGAATGCGATTTTCGTTGTTACATGCCTACACAGCTTTTTTCTCGCATTCACAACGAAGATAATCGTATTATTATTTTGAAATTTATTCAAACTCTTAATTCATTCTATTTTTAGTTAATTTCTCAAACGAAAAACAAGTATCGAGTTTTATTTTGTAGAGACTCCAAATACCGGACCTACCATTACCTGCTGAGATTTATTATTTCCCACTGGTATGATGACATAAGCTATTTTTTATTTTTTGTCAAAAATCTCTATAGAAATCCTCATATCCGTCATTGACGTTGATGGGGAGGGGGAGGGGGAGGGGGGCTCGTCCTCCGTGGGATCCATTGCCATCTGGAAGGCCGATGGTCAATTGAGGCGGAATGGTACGTGGCAGCCGCTCCTCAGTTAATTTCTTTTGCCTTTGTTATGGTGAAACTAAGAATTAGTCCTTTAATTTAGAGTTTACTAGTATTTAGGGTGTTAGGTTTAAATATTTTAAATTTTAAACCTATGCATTGCAAGATAAAAAAAAAAAAAGAGGAGAGAATATTATTTAAATTTTAAGTTTTAAAATTTAATGTGTTAAGATTAAGATTTATATTATTAGGTTTTAGGATATAATATTTAAATTTGAAATTTAATAACTTAAAAATTAAAATCACAATACTTGAAAATAAAATTTAAAAGTTCTTATATTAAAA